TTCTCCCCACACACCTTTTCTGCCATTGTTTTGGGTTGTATATCCACTTGCTCGTGACTAATTCACTGGAAAACCATCACTGTTTCATGGACTTTTAAATGAGGGAAGAGAGATCCTCCATGGTGTGGCAACCACATTTCACATGCATCCAGTCTCCCCTGACTATCTGGCTATCTAGGATTTTATACTGCTGCCTATCCATATAGTTTCAGAGTGCCTTCTATGTAAAATCAATAGCAATGGCAAAGTACTTAACAGATTTCATGGAGTCTCCAGGCATATAATGGATTCCAATCTTTCCTTCCCAGTAAAACTCTGAGGCTATGTCTACATTGCAGGCTTTTGCCGGCAGAGAGTATGCTAATAAAGCGCTCATTCGCATTTGTTGCGCTGTCATTTGCATATTTTCTGCCAATGCTTTTTGCACAAAAACAAGTAGTATAGACAGGTCCATTTTATGCAAAAACACCTTTTGCACAAGATCCTTATACCTCCTTTTTTGCTGCTGCTCTTTCACCCCTTTCTTTCATTATAGAAGTACAGGACTGGAAGAGATCTCAGGAGGTCATCTATTCCCCTCTGTACTCATGGCAGGACTAAATTCAGTAGAACCTCAGACTTACAAACACACCAGGTAGCCACATACTTATTTTGGAACCAGAAATGCACAATCAGGCAGCAGCAAAGACACATGCATGCACACAAAAAGAGCAGACCAGGAAGACGCGGAGCAAAGCCGCAGAGCACGCGGGCAGCGGGACAGCCCCGACGCGTCCCCTCTGTACTCATGGCAGGACTAAATTCAGTAGAACCTCAGACTTACAAACACACCAGGTAGCCACATACTTATTTTGGAACCAGAAATGCACAATCAGGCAGCAGCAAAGACACATGCATGCACACAAAAAGAGCAGACCAGGAAGACGCGGAGCAAAGCCGCAGAGCACGCGGGCAGCGGGACAGCCCCGACGCGCCGTGGCTGTCCCGCTGCCGGCATCCTCCCAGCAGACCAGGGAGACGGGGGCTCCCCCCAGCAGACCAGGGAGACGGGGAGCAAAGCGTCGGCGTGGCGTGTCGGGGCTGTCCCGCCACTCACGTCCTCCGGGGCGAGAAAAGCCCCGTTCGTAACTGCGGATCCGACATAGGTCGGATCCGCGTAACTCGGGGACTGTCTGTACATCACTAGATGTAGACATACCTTTGCCGTATGATTAAAGTGATACTTAAAGATTTTTTTTATTTCCTCCTCTTCTTCCCCTTTTTAATATTTGCACTAAATACAAATATAAAGCTGTTTTAGTAAACAAGTGTCATGTTCGTCAGTGGGTAGTTTTGTTATTTTTTCAAGAAAATGGCAACAAGCTAAATATACCTATCTTATGCTAGGAGAGAATCTGGTCCAGCTTGTCCAGTGCTGTTAACTTAATATGTGGGGTTTTTTTTACATGCCCTGCGGTGTGTCAGGGAAAAGAAAAGGAATAGGGCATTTGTCCTCCACACACAAAATGCACCCACACAAACAGGTCAGAATAAGTTCCTACTGCTGAAGACTATGTTTTATAGGAAACTTCATTACCACGCCCACGGTGATCAGCTGGTCAGGGGAACAGGCAATCCCTAGATTTATGACACAATTGGTTCCTGAAAATTGTGTCTTACTTTGAAACATTGTAACTCGGAACCTAGTTCTAAAAACATAGGTTGCAGCCAGTGATACTCTCCACTACATTTCTAAGCAGAAAATAATGTTCCCTACCACACTAGCCTACTGTGGCAGGATATCTTTAGCATTGGACATGGAGCTCTCACTGTTCTCCTGACCTCCCAAGAGTAAAGGCTGGAATTTCTCATGTGGAAGAACTGAAATCTCTGTGTGTCAAGGCTTAATTAATCAGGTCTTTAAAAAGGATGCTCCTTTTGAGGTTCATCTATTATTTCTTCACAGCGTAATCCCATAACAATTATAGTTCTCTTTGTGTTGATGAGGTACAGGTTAATATCCGGACCTCTCTACATCTCAAACCATGTTCGGATTAAGGCCTTTTCCACACTATACCTTGACCCATGTTTCCAACACCATTCTTGACAAAATCTTCCAGTGTGGTACTGTCACAGTTCCTCAGCCTAGTGCTGATAGAGTTTTTTGGCGGGAAAACTGCAAGCCCATATTGTTATAGGCTACCTGTTGTAATCAGTTCAATAAGACTACAAACTGTGTTATAATAGTGCTAATTCATACCTCTGTTTGAACATTATTTCCACTGCCAGAGACAGGGTTGTGCCTGCTTTAAAAATGTGTGTTTAATGCTCTTTGGGTGCTGTAACAATGAGCATTTCACTTTTGAAGGGAATGAGCTCCAGTTTTCCTTTGAGAAACATGGCACTAAAGTTTTTATTATGCACTCCTGGGAGCAGATGCTTCATGGGTTGGGCAGTCATAAACAGTTTCCTGATAATAGTTACCTCATTGTTAGTTCAGTTGTTGAAACTCTTACTATTCTTATTAACTGTAGACTGAACTTTGGACCAGAGACAATTTGGTATTCAATTGTTTCTTCCAACTAATTACCTTTTTTCTCTATACCATTTCCTGATGGTCCCATCACAAACTCAGTACATACTAATCTATTAAACATGGATTTTTTTCACCAGGAAGGCTTCAGGAGATTTCCAGTCACCTACAAATTTGATATTTATCTTGTACATTTTTTTCTTTTTAAAAAGTCAGGGAACTCCACCAGTATCCAGCTTCCTAGAACTTTCACAACAAACCTCTTCAAGCTCTGCCAATCAGGGAAGTCAGTAGAAGCCATTCCTTGACTTTAGTGGGCATTGGTACTCCAAAAACTGTATCCCACTAAGTCCAATAGCATAGGCCATCTGGCAAGTCTGCCCTGGGAACATGAAATATTTCTATGTTCTATCCATTTTTACCACATGTACATTCTTATAGATGACAGGCTTTTATATTGCTGAATTTAAAAATTACTTAATGTTCTTCCTAGCAATATCTGGTAGATGTTTTTATTTTCTCACTTGAAATCTATTTTAAAATTATACTATTGCCCATAACTGAATGTTGAAGTTTTCCATTTTCTTTTGTGTGATGTTCCAAGACATACATTTGTACAGCTCAGTCTAGGTTTATTTGTTATTGAAACTGCAACAAATTGTGTTAAACAATTTTACATTACTGGCTCAGAAATCTTGAGAAATAATAACCCTTCTTGTCAAGAGATCTTTACAAATGTCTTACAATCATGGCGTTCCCTCTCTAAACAATAGGCTATACTATAGCAGATGTCAGAGTTGCTGATGAGCAGGTAACCAGAGGTATTTTTTTGAGCATGAACATACTAGGAAATCGTAGCTGCCTGGCAAGTATAAGATGAACAAGCAAGAATATTCTTTGTGAAAAAAAAAAACATATATATTTTATTTGACTCATATGTCATGACAGTAGTCACATGGCTTTTTGTTATATTTCATATTACAGCTTGGATGTGATATGTCAGAAATCTAGTGAAACATGATGCTGCCATGCTGTATCCTCTTAAACAGCTACACTGTTAGTATAGCACATCAGAGTGCTTGTAGAGCACTATGGTGAGACTCTTAGCTGGGAAAAAACATTTGTTCAGCACCTTTGGCTTCAAGTGACTAGATTCAGAATGGTCACTAGACCCCTTGGCCTTTCCTTCCTGTAGGCCCTGTCTGAGTTCCTCACCCATCTCATCTCTCTGTTAGCTTCATTTAGCACGGACCCTTTAATTGACAGATTTTTCCCCTCCCTGCTTTCCCCTCTTTTTCTGCTATATATTTGTACCTCTTGACCCCTTGCTTCATATTTGTCATCTGAAGAAGTTGGTTGTGCCCTCAACAGCTCCTCATGCTATCTATATTTTTGATTAGTCTCTAAGGTGCTAGAGGGCCATTTGTCATTTAAGTTTTTTTTCGTTACAGAGTAACAGAGCTACCCCTTTGAGACTTTTCCCCAGTTCTGTTATCTTTCCTGGAGAGCCTCAAATGAGTACTTGATGAACAACATTAAAAAAAAATCAGTGTTACTGATTACAGAACTGCTGCAAAATAAAGTAAAAATTAAATATATATTTTAAAGTAAGTTGATGAAAAACAGAGGAGGCTGTGGCGTAGGGGAGAAAGAAAGAGATGCTGGCCAAATAAAATAATAAAATAATAAATAGACAGCTAGGCAGAGAAGATTTTTTTCTCCCCTACATCTTGCTGCAAGGTCTGATTACAGCCAGGATTACAGCCAAGCAGGATTACAGGAAGTCAGACCTACTCCTTGTCTACATTATATAAATGAATCGTATCAAAATTTTAGCTTTTTAGCACACTTGTAAAAAATCTCATGTCTACACCCAGGAGAACTCCAAATAGTCTGGATACATGCAAACACCATTCAGTCTATATGCTTTTAGTGCCAGTGTAGATGGAGGCCACTGGTGTAATGGTACCAATGTTTCATAAACTGTTTGCAGTGTGAAACCTGTAGGTTTGTACATCTCTAATACATTAGTTTAAGATGACAGAAATGAAACCTGAAATCTGAGTGACTGTTGAAGAAAGCTTTGTTTTATGCAATATCACAATGTACTGCAAACACAGAACGTTCTACCATCTCCGCAACAAAGAACGTGTCAATAATTTTGACCTTCAGGACCACATACTATGTAGTGTTTCTAGGTGTTTGTGATTCTTAATCACAGCTTCATTGCTGATCATAGTTTCCTATGAACATTGCTGTATCAGTACAGGAGCAAGATATGTGCAGAGGTACTGAATCTGATTAAGAGAGTGACAACAAAGCAAATAATTTCTTCTCACCAATGCAGACCAATGACTTTGTCTTGTGATTCCTATAGTTTTACTTCTCTTTAAATTTGCATTTAGAGAAACTTTGTCCTTAAGAAATTTGATTGAATTGGTTTTAGAAAAGCAATTTAATTT